ACCCCAAAACCCCAAAACCCCAAAACCCCGTAGCTAAAATTTTTCAAAATCATTAAAATATTATCGAAATAATTTCCAGCTTCTAACGACAATGGAGAAAACCAAGAACCCCAGCTTTCCCAAGAAAAAGTCTGACCAGAGCAGGACCAAAAAGAGACACTTGAAGTGTAAGAAGAAGGCTAGCTACAAGCCTAGGAGAAGAATGGATAAGCTAGATGTAAGGATCTGTTAAGGGGCTGGAAGTGATTGGGGTATAGATCCATGTGTACAACCTGGATTTCCCCCAGATTAGGAGGGATAGGAAGAACCCTGTGTTTAAAGCGAAGGTAGGGGAGAGGTGGTTGATTGATATAGCTGAGACAGATGTTTATTGATTATGTGAAGAAGTATTTAGGGGTTCCGTATACGAGGAGGAAATATGTTGATACGGAAAACGAGTATTATTATCCGATATATTTGGACTGATGAGGGCTTGTTAGGAGGGTACTGATTGATCTGAGTGATCTCTTCGGCTTCAGGATAGGGTAGGTTTTTGAATTTCATATTTTTGATATGTTTGAGCTTTATTTGGGGATGGGAAAATTTGACTTTTTGGATAGAGGAGGAAATCAAGGCTATCAAGTGAGTCGTTTAGAAAGAAAATTTAGATTGATACACTTCCAATCGTACTAAAACCTCACGAGATGAAGCCAGGAGATTTGGTATTTTACTCAGGTATTTAAATTCTTGAATCCTAACGTATACAGGAATTTACAACAATGAGAACAAGGTAGAATCCACCTTTATTCAAGAAAATCAATCAATATCTTGAACAAAAATATAGAGAGTCTCAAAGCACAACATGACACATGTTGAGATGTTCACTGGAGGTGAAACTGGAACCCAGTCCATAGGTGCTAGAGGAAAGAAGAAGGTTGTGAATTATTACGACTCTTTCAAGGTAATCGCTCTTCAGACCTTTAGTTTGTCTCAAGAAGTTACCACAGCATAAAATGGCACTACAGATCCATCGACACTTGGCTTGAGGGAAGTTGCAAGAGTATTTGTCCAAAGCATAAATGGAAACGAGGAAAAAGGAAGCCAAATTATTCAACTGCTAATATTATAAAGCATAAGAAGATGAAGCAAAGGGTCAAATACATGGAACATTTGAAACAGAATAAGAAAGTACTTCTGATAAATAATCACTAGGTTATTCCAAAGGCCATAACTGCTTTTGTCAATAAGGTTTATTGATGCCCAGAGTTTGAGAGTGTACTAGAAAACTGTAATATCAAGATCCTCACTTCAGAGTAGGCTCGTATGACTATCTCTGTAGGGCTCTAGAACCAAACCAGTGGAATGATGAAGCAAGATTTGCTTTTGTATCAAAGCTCAAAGAAGTAGACTATGCTCGATATATAAATGACTTCCATTTTGTCAACCATATTCAAACAAGGTACAAGCCTTGCTCTCCAAAGGGCTTTCTCAAGTTAATAGAGCATTGCAAAACCTCTATGAAGTGTGGAGTAATAAAACCGATTGATGATTACGAGGATGCTTTTATTGAGGGGTATTGCCTCGACAATGTTTCAGATTTATGGACCTTCCTGAAGTAAGTTTACCATCCTACTCTCTGTCTCAACCATTTCTTAAACTATGATAGTTGTTCGAATGAAGGAATGTGGGTCGTAAAGAAATGACTAGGAGCTCATAAAAGGATCTCCTATAAGAACATCGGTAAGTTAAAGTTCTGAAATTTTCCTTTTCTGATACATTTGAATAGTTACCAACTTGATGGCTTACAAGGAGACTTTACTCTCAATGGACCCTGAAGAAGACTACTGGCTCAAAGAGGGAAATATTGAGGATGATGATTTCTCAATCTCAGATATTGAGGAAGAGGAAGATGAGGATACCAGCTCCTCTAATCTCAACTCTAATTCTGACCAGGATGATATCGAAGATGATGTATCAGAGTCTGACCATGACGACTCAGATCAAGATCAGTCAGATGAGCCAGAAGAGACTAAAAATGAAACCATGGATGTGAAAGTAAACGATGCTGAGAAAATGAACCCTAACTTACCCAGAATGTACAAGAGAAATAAAAGATTGCTTAAAAATATTGCTACCGAGCTGAGAAATAGAACTATATTCAAGCAAGTTGTCGAATATAGGCCAAAGAAGTCATTCAGAAAGTAAGATTAGTTATATATAGCATAGGTCGAGCTCTATGCCGAGATTTATGAAAACAAGTAGAGGCAGAGAGGAGTCTAAAAAGAATGACAATAATAACCTCCTAATTGATGAGACTAAATTGATAACATATCATACTGTGGTAATTTTTAAAATGAACTATTTAGACGACAATATGCAGAGGACATTTTGTTTCATTAATTAACTCCCATGAAGCAGAAAAGCATCTGAAAAGGCTCAAGGTAGACTCTTACAAATCTAGAAGACAATGCTCTACGCGCCCGAACAGCTCTAGTTCTTATAGAGAGTCTTCTGAGGAAGAAAAGGGAAGCAGTGATGACTCTTTAGGACTTTTTAATAAGCCTAGATCGATAATTTTAAATGAAAGAATGAAGGATATTGTAAAAGTTCTTCTACATGAAATGTCCTTTCACATGAACAGCAAAATTAGAGGATGTTTTGAGATGCTCAGGTTCAACTTCGTCATTGACTCAAACCTAAATCCTGTTCTTAAGGGCATATCTTCTAATCTGAATGATGAGGTACTTCTTCTCCTCATCTTTTAGAGACTTTCTACTGACTACAGCAAACAGGTTATCGAAAGCAGCATAAATTTTGTATTCAAGCTGTCTAAAAGAGAAAGAGCCAAGACCAAGGAAAATATATCAAAGCTAATTCTAGAAGTAATGAATAGCGCAGGAATACATAAAGACTTCAGATTCTTATCAAAACATTAGTATAAGAAGTTTATAAATGAGTTCAGACATCAAAAAATTTGCCTTTTATATGTTAGTTTTCCTTATGGGTCTTCTTCCCAGAGAATTCTAAAGGAAAAATGAGCCAATCTACATCAAGGATGATGATAGGGGTAATTACCAAGTCCCGATAGTTTAGCAATCAAGGATTTTAGTCAAAATATAGATTTGATGAAATTTCATGATGAGTTTAGCAATAAAAGGCAAATTAATATAGAACTCAATTTTATTAAGTCATATTGGGGTTTTGGGGTTTTGGGGTTTTGGGGAGAT